GGAGCCGGGGATCGAACCGCCGCTCCTCTGATTGAAGGACGGCTCTGCGCTCCACTTAGCCAAGATCAGTTCTAGACTACGGCTGTGTGGAATATAGGTCGGCGTCTCAAACCTTGTTGGGAAAACTGGATGTAATACAAGCGTCAAGATTATGTAGTGGGGTCTTTAAAACATCTGTGCCGGCATTGCAGGTAGAAATGGGGGAAATGCCGTTGGAGTTGAGAAGAATCCAGATCATGACGACATATTGGGTCAGTTTACAAGGACATAACAACCATCCAATAATAAGTGCAATTGAGCCATGCTGGGAACATGACAACAGGCCAACAAAGAGCTCTGGTTGGGTTGTTCATAAGAAGGCTAGTGAATTAGGTTTTAGGAGTTATTCTCCAGCTGTGGTCCAGCTGTTCCTCTTTGGTTACTGCCACAGCCTGAAATAGATCTTGGCCTCCTTGAACTGATGAGAGATGAACGTGGGGGAAACTGTAACATCTTCAAGTCATACATCAGTTACCACAATTAAATATAGATTTATGGACCCTAGAGACCCTAAAAATGGTAGAACAGCAGCAGCAGCAGTGATCCCAGAATTCCATGATGAGTGTGGGAAGAGACTCAGTGATGATGCATTTGTGTTTGCATGTGAGATGATGGCCATAGAGTTATTGCGTTACAGTGGGTAGAGGAGGTCAGGCCAGAGAGAGAGGTGATTGCATCAGACTCATGTGCAGTGCTAACGAGTTTGACATGTTGCCACTCCAGAAGCAGAGAGGATCTACTGTTTGAAATACTACAATCATTTTTAAGAATCCATCAAATGCGGATAGCGGTTCATTTAGTGTGGGTCCATGTTGGAGTCGATGGATGAGAAGGCGGATAAAGCAGCAAAAAGTTCTTTGAAGAGTGGGAGAAATAACGTTAATGTAAATATAAGTAAGTCAGAAGCTAAAGTGGTGATTAAGGGACAAATCAAAAAGATATGTCAGAACGAATAAAGGGAGTAAAGGAAGATATCTGTTTAAAAATAAACCATTGGTTGGGAGCAGGATCTAGTGGACGAACTAGAAAAGAGGAGATGCTTATGACAAGACTAAGGAATGGCCATACTGGTCTGAACAGTTCCCTCTATGTTATTAGAAAGCATAATAATGGAAAGTGTACATTTTGTGGAGAAGAAGAAACCGTGGACCATGTTTCATTGTCCTGTCAGAGGTACGAGTCAGAGAGAGACGTTTTGAAAAAAGGTCTAAGAGAGATTGGAGAGGAAAATATCATTAATGTACTAAAGAAAAGCTTCAGTGACAAATGTTGGAAACTTTTTCTGGAATATTTAGAGTCAACCAGATTAATGAATAGAATTTGAGAAAAAAATTAATTAACCGCCTGCTCTCGTCTGCTTTCCAGGCGACGCGCAGGTCAACTCGAACGAGCCTAGCACGCGCCTCCCCTTCAACAACATCCTCCTGGAACAGAAAAAGCTATTTTTAGGTTTCCGGTCTCTGAGGTCACCGGAAGTACATTTTCTCCTGGACAAAAAAATAAAAGACGAAAATAACTTCATAATAAAAAATATTACGCTCATTATTTTTCTTTATTACACAATTATATATATATATATATATATATACAGTATATACGCGTATATATTATATATACATATATGTATGTATATGCATACATATATAATTACATTTTTTATTAATTTTACTTGAAACATGATATAAAAAAAAGAAATGCAGACTTTTATTCTTGCGGGGCCCTCCAGGCTCCATGTTTGTAAAATGCATTTTATATATTTAATCAAATAATTTGATGTTGAAGGAAAATGATATTTTTATTAAACAAAATTAATCATCTACCATATAATTCAATGATTTTTCTCGGCTGATAACTTTCAAAAATGTATATTTGACGTAAACATTTATGTTTACGTCAAATAAAGGACATTAATGTTAAATAAGTGGTGGTCTAAGGTTTTATAAACAAAAATAAAATGTTTGTTAATAAAACCCAACATGAAAACAAACAAACTTCTGTTTTTCTTCATTTATTTCTCCAAAATTATTCTGTTACGTTTCTGTACAACTCGTCTCTCAAACAGTTTGAACCTGAACGTCTTAAACTCGACCTCCTGCTGTAAAAACGGTTTTAAATCCATCCATCCACATTTATACACTCATCTTCATCATCTTCATCCTTCCTGTCAGTTCATCCTCCTGCTGGCCTCAAACAAACAAACAGTCGGAGGGTGCCCCTGTTTTTGGAGGAAACATTTTGGACCGACATGAAAAACAAAGTAAAGGAACTCTTCATCACAGCAATGCATTTTGGGAAATTTGCTCGTTTTTTTGTCCATATGCTAATTTTTCTACCAGTTTGTTTGTTTCTCTTCTGGATCACATTTGCTTCTACAGCTTTCAGATGTCAAACTGTCCCTGAACGCACCACAGAGTTCAGGTTTAAGTTAAATAAATGAGCTGAAATAATTCGTTCATAAATAACTTAAATCAACCGACAGATTAATCATCAATTCATTAATTTTCTCTGTTTTATGTGACAAACTGAAAATCTGCTGCTCGGACAAAACGAGACATTTAAGGAATATTTTATGAAACAATAAATTAATCATAAAAACTAAAACAGATCAATAATCAGGCGGCGTAGTGGCGTATTATTGATTAACCTGCAGATCTTATCTTTAATTTATCGATTGTTTACTTCTTAAAATGTGAAAATACATTCTGTTAAAGTTAAAGATGTGAAACAGAGAAGATTGTTTAAGTTTAAACATTTGAGAAGCTGGAAGCTATATTTGAGATAAATCAATAATGAAAAATCTTCTGTTTCATGAAACTAATAGTTTCAGCTCTTATATATGAGAAACTAATCTGCACATTAATAAACATAAACATCATCTGCTGCGTTAATCTGACAAAGAAGAAGAACATTTCCCAAAACGTTCCCTAAAAGTTGAGGACGAGAGAACACAGAAATCCTGATGTCAGTGAACTGCTCACAGCTTTAAATGGCAAAACGACTCCGGAATGATCGGCTCTCAAACTCTTTACAGAATAAAATGTTTAACATAAAAGTAATAAAACTACAGTTGGCAAAATGAAATCTCACAAACGTCCCTCGAGGGATTTAACGTCCAGCACGACATTTAAAAAACATTTTCCAGCTTCTTCTCGTATTTCTGTCTCAAAACATCATCGAGACGAGAAACAAAGTGAAGACTTTAGTTTTGTTATAAATCATAAAGATCCACAAAGTGTTCAGCATCACATGCATCAATGAGGACATGACTTTATATATATATATATATATATATATATATATATATATATATATAAGAACATGACTTTATATAATATAAATCAACACATCATTCATCAGTGAAACCTGAACTCATCATCATGAAATGTTATTTTCAATATTTATATTTCATGTTTCTTTTAATAATAAAATAAAACATTAAAGTAAAATGGAATTTAAGCCAAATCTAAAAATAAAAATGTTTGAAGAGTAAAATATAGATTTTTGTAAACATGAAATATTTATAATAATAAGCTGAGTTTTAATAATTTTCTTCACATTTTTATATTTTACATTCCTAGAACTATTTTTATCATAAAGTCAAATAATTAAATAATTATAGGAACAATATGCAAATAAATAAATGAATGCATTAAATAAATGATTAAAACTTAACTTATAACTATGGAATGTTATTTCATCGTTCAGGAAATATAAATACGTTTTAATTTTAAAAGCCTTTTTTTGTCACTTTTCATTTTCGTCATTATTATGAAATAAAATATTGTGAATTAAAAAAAAGGGGGATTAAATACGACTTGTCACTCAGAAAAATGACAAAATTAAATACATTTAAAAAAAGAGTAAAATGTTTATAATGAAATAAAAATCTTATCGTCAAAATGAGCAGATTTCTGTTAATTGTTTCCACAAATCGTTGGTTGATTTATAGATTTCACAGAACTTAAATCTATTTAAATGATGTCACAGTGAACACTTTGCGGCTCCATATTTCACAGTTTGTGTTTATTCTTCACACGACTGAAGAAATAAAAACACGGCACCAAACTTTGTGAGAGAATCTGGAAAACGTTATTGTTAATATTCAGCTGTGTCGACGCTCCACATTCTAATACTGGCTCAAACAAACAAACAAAGTGGATGGCAGTCCAGAAGTGTAGCCCTCCAGAGGAATGCTGGGAAACGTAGTCCTCCTCAGAAAGTCTGTTATAGCTCTATCACAGTAACTCTTACCTCCACCTAGTGGTCAACAATGGCAATTACATCTTTAAAAAATGGGCGTAGACATAAATATTCCAGCTGCAGTAGAGGAACTAATGACGACGTCGTCTCCGAGTCTAGAATCCTTCTTGGTGTCGTTGTCTGACTCCGGTCGTGCTCCACGTACACAGACACGCACACGTCAGAGGGAACAATCGTCAGGTTTCTCATATTTATATAAATAGATAGTGTTCATGGTATTCATACAAATGTCTGTACACAAACGTCCATGCAGCCGAACCCGTCTGTAAACGCAACACCATCTTCATCATCATCTTCTCATCTCTTTATCTGATGATCATCTTCTCATCTACACATGAAGACTGTGAGGAAGGGAAACTACGGAGGTGGGGAGCCGCCAGCACGCGCACACACGGCTCGCTGTAAAACTCTCCGGCGTCCTTTAAAGGAACAGTCCGACATTTTGAGACGTTTTCTTATTTGCAGTTTTAAGTCGAGTCAGACGAGGTCACCGGAATAAAACCTGTAACGATCAGCTTATTTTAAACTTAGCGTTTTTAATCTCAGCGTCGACGAAGAGCTCGTCCTCTTCATCCTCTCACTAAAGCAGCACAACGAGCTCAGCTGTGGATAAAATGTCGGACTGTCCCTTTAAGAAGACCTTAAAGGGGCGGAGTCACTCGGGTAAAACGAGGTGGCAGTGTGTTTCTTCAGTTTACAGAATCTTATTTATCACTACAAAAGAAAAACGTATGAAACAGTTACAGATCGAAAAATCAAAGACAAACAACCGTTATTTACATAGTTTACAGTGGTCTTTGAAAGCACCCTCAGAACTGTGCAGCAGGTTCTCTTTTATCTTTACTGGTTCTGTTTTGGTCACTGTTCCTGTGCAGCTTCTTTCTAACAGTGATCTTAATACTTGGGGTTTTATCTGTCCTAACTTATATTCTTTTTACTTTTGAGCATCAGGAACAATTTAAAGAAAGAAGACATTTAAATCTACATTTAAAATGTGTTTTTACATTTTTTTTAACTTTTGCTCTTAAAACAAACTGACGGCTTGAATTCTCTCTGACGTCAGATCTCAGGAGGCGGAGTTTCAGGAGTAAGAGAGGTGCGACCCGTTGGAGATGTGGGAGGTGACCGACGTGCTCCGGCTCAGCCCTCCGTCGCTCCCCCCGCCTCCCCCCGGCCCTCCGGAGGCCGTCCTCCTCAGAGGCTGGGGGCTGTTCCTGAGGGCCATGAGGCCGGGGCCCCTGATGCTTAGGCCGCCGCCGTAGCCTCCCTGAGACGACGAAGAGGAGGAGGCGGAGGAGGGTGGGGAGGCGGAGATGGAGATCGGGGGAGGCGGCGGCGGGGGAGGCAGGAGAGCCAAGGACTGGGAGGAGGCATGTGTGGCGAGGTGGTGGTGATGGTGGTGCAGCTGGGAGTGGTGGGGGTAGTGGCCGCCGCCGCCGCCACCTCCTCCTCCTCCTCCTCCACCACCTCCTCCTCCTCCCACCCACTCCCTGGAGCGGTCGCGCTCCCGGCCGTCGTGGCTCTCGCGGTACAGCTGCGGCGTGCTCTGGTGGTGCTGGTAGTGCTGTGGGAGGTAGTGCTGCTGCTGCTGCTGCTGCTGCTGCTGCTGCTGCTGCTGGTGGTGGTGGTGGTGATGGTGGGAGGAGGAAGAGGAGGAGTGGGAGGAAGAGGAGGACGGGTGGCCCCTGATGCTGCTCTTGTGCATCTCGCTGTCCCGGCCGAGGCCGTGGGAGGAGGTGATGGACTCTGCGCGGATGAAGCTGCCGCCTCCTCCTCCTCCTCCTCCTCCTCCGTGGTTCTGGCTGCGCCACGACGGCGTGGTCACTGAGTTCTGCACGCTGTGGCTCCAGTGGCTGCCGGAGCGAGGCACCGGCCTGGAGGGCCAGCCACCGGAGCCCGAGGACGGGCTGGGCGTCGGGTAGCCCTGGTTGAAGGCCTCGGCCGGGATGCCGCTCAGCGCCATGTTACTGAAGCCCAGACGCATGCTCTCCGAGTCGAAGGCCTCGATCTCGTGGGCCTGGCGCTCCAGGAGGGTCCGGATCCGCTCCGAGCGCTCGTTCTGCAGGGACAGCATCTCCTCCTCGATCTGACGACACACGTTTACCCCGTTAGGGACGCAGTCAACAACAACAAACATCTACAGAAGCATCAGTCTGGTATGGAAGCCCATTGACTTTCTATCTCATAATTACCGTGGGGACATGGGCTTCGATAGTCTGATGATCTGATAATAAACTGAAGAACTTTTGGGTTTGTTTTTTGTCATTTCTCCACTATTTTCCAACCTTTTATAGTTAAAATAATCAGCAGATTATTCGATGACGACAGTAATGAGTCACAGCTGGAGAAGCATCGATCGGACACATTTAATGGATAGAATGTGAAACCCGTTTCCTACCCGTTGCTCCAGCAGCGCCCGGCGGATGGACACCCTCTGCTCCAGGTCCTTCACCTCCCTCTCGTGCTGGGTGTCGGTGTGGATCTTGATCTTGCTCTGATAGGCGTTCAGCAGCTCCAGCTCCTGCTGCAGCTGCATCCTCAGGACCTGGTACTCAGCCTCCTGGTTCTCATCCAGACGCAGCTGTAGGGGGGGGGGGACCAAGAAGAAGAAGAGCGTCAGAATGATGAGGATGATGACGACGACAGGAAAATTATGTTCATGTACGTTTCTTAATCAGATTTTCTTTTCTTCTTCTTCAACAAACAGAAAGATTATTTATCTATTGTGTTATTTTAAATGTTTCCGTTTGTGTTTCCCGTCACTTCACTGACCCGTTCACACAAACGTTGATTGTGTGTTCTGTCACTTTAAATAAACAACGGTTCATATGAAAACTTATTCAAATCAGTAATTTTTCGTGCGTCCAGCAACACGTTTCAGTTACGTATATCGCTACGTTAGGCGTGTTACGCATGTTACTACGTTACGCATGTTACTACGTTAGGCGTGTTACGCATGTTAGGCATGTTACTACGTTACGCATGTTACTACGTTAGGCGTGTTACGCATGTTACTACGTTACGCATGTTACTACGTTAGGCGTGTTACGCATGTTAGGCATGTTACTACGTTAGGCGTGTTACTACGTTAGGCGTGTTACGCATGGTACTACGTTAGGCATGTTACTATGTTAGGCATGTTACTACGTTAGGCATGTTACTACGTTAGGCGTGTTACGCAT